GGGGGGGCATGTGGCTGCGCATGTACCTGAGCGTATTCGCAAGGGCGTCTGGTATTTGTATGTCCAAGTGTCCCTCTGTATTTGTGTGTGCTTGTATGGTTGTGTGGGTCTCTGAGCCTGTCTGGGCATACACATGAATTTTTGTGCAAATAGAGCTCTGAGGGCATCTGTGTGAGTGTGTGCGTGTGAGCATGTGCCTGGGTATGTGTTTACAGAGGGACAGGTGGCTGTTGCAGCCACACAGCCCTGGCTTCCAGCTCCATGACCCTCCTCCCTGAGCCCCACTCCCTTCTGCCATGCTCCTTCACCTGTTCTCACCCTTAGCTCTGATATTTTTGTCCTGCCGTCAGAAGGGATCTAGCAGTTGGCCCTTCTTGCCTCTCCCTGCAGCCTTGCCTCTCCCAGGCTCCATGCACAATTGTCCACCCAGCACCCACACCTTTACACACAGCCCCTTCCAGGAGTACCCTCTTCCCCTCACCCCAGTCCTGCTTTCAGGGTGACGCTCAAGTTCCTCTTCCTCCCTGAAGTGTTTTTCCTCACCTGATCAGTGAACCGTCGTTGCTCATACCTTAACCCCCACTTGCTTGCTGGGCACACAGCATGTCCAGTCTTCCTGCAGGTTCCTAGAGGGAGTTTGAAGAATCAGTGAGACTTGATCAGGGCCTTGAAAGGAGAGGGTGTGGTCGTGTGTGTTTCCCCAGGGCCTTGCTCAGTGCTTGGCACCTAGTTGGCGCTCAGTAAATGCTGAATGACTGAATGGTGGCTGATAGGTGCTCAATAAACATTGAATGATTGGCCTTCCCTTCTCAGGCTATTCCTGCCATCAGTCTGTCCACCTTTCTAGGTTGGGCTTGGCCACCATTAAACACGGGGTGGGGGTGAGGGCCCCTGCAGTTCAAGGTGCAATATTTACCAGTTTTGCCCTCTGCCTTGTAACGGCAAACCTGGCTTTTGATTACCATGTGTGGATGTGTGTGTATCCTTTCTTCTCTATCCCTGGGGGCAGGAGGTGGTCTGTGAATGAATGTGCGACATTTCTGCAATTCAGTATCCCAAGATTTCTCTTGGGGGTAGGGGCTCCTGGCCGGCCAGATGAAGGGTCCCTGGGAACCCAGACCTCAAGTGCAGACTTCATTTCTTCCTCCTCACACAAGCCAAATTTGCCTCCACCCACTCCTTCCTCTGAATAACTGGGCATTTGCCAAAGTAATCACTGGAGTCATCCAATGCTCCTCCCCTCCCCAGGTTTCCCATAGCTTTCAGGGACAGTGGGCAAGAGGACCCCCTCCCATCCCAGTTGAACACACCGTTTCCCCTTCCCCCAGCAGTGCACTCAGTTCAGCAAGACTGACCCCTGACCCTTACCCAGCCCTCCCCACCTTGGACAGGAAGGAAGTAATGCACCTTCTCTTGCTGATTATTTATTTGTTTGGAGAGACAGAAATGATGTAAAAGTGTATCTAGAAATATCTATATCTATATATTTTTAACTGACTCTTTGGAATCCCCAGGGGTGGGGTGAGGGTGAATTTAGGCTTTCATGGAGGGGAGGAGACATGGAGCCTGGGAACTCCTGTTCTCCCCTCTGCCACCTCTCTCCACCCCCTAAACAGCTGGTAGAAGGAATGGGATTTGTATTGGGGGAGGGGCGCTGGAATGTTATATGGAGAATCTGGATTCTCTCCGTCTTCCCCACTCAAGTCCCAGAGGGAGGAAGGGGACAGGCCACGGAGGTGCCCCACCCCCAGACCTGACAATCACCCACACTCCTGGGGCTCCTCCTGGGTCCTGGGCAGGGCGAGTCCAAGTGTGTGGCTGTTGATTTGTTTTCAATATTTCTTTTCGTGCTGTATGGTGATGCTTTCTTAGTATTCTACACAATAAGAAAGACAAAGTCCCCGAGATTCTTATGAGTTTTGTTTGAAAACTCTTTCACTATATTTGTTGTAAAGAGGTTTACTATTAAAAGAAAAAGAATACACGTTTCTGATACTTTGGCTTGGGTTCTGGTTTCTCTGGTGCGGTCGGCTGAGGAGGGAAGGAGGGACTGTGTGCCCTGCCAGGGTGAGGGGCCCAGCGTCAGGGCGGAGAGTGGCGTCAGCCTTCAGGGCAGGCACTGAAGTGGGGTTTCAGGTGAGAATTCCTTCCAGGTGCTCTGTCAGAGGCAGAGGCAACCCCAGAACTAGGGAAGGTTGTCCTATTAGGAGCCATAGGAGGAGTCCTGAGATATAAGAGAAACAAATTCCACCCAAGGCCAGGTCAGGAACAGGGTTGTGTGCAGTGAGGGAGCAGCATGGTAGGGAACCTTTGATTACTGGAAACTTCCCCACAGCAGGAACTGGCCCAGGCACTGTTTTAGGCACAGATGAAGTCCGCCCTCACAGTGGTCCCACAGAGCTCACTCCAGCAGGGGCATCTGCCCTGCCCCTCCCTTTTGAAGCACTTGAACAGTGCCAGGGAGCCTTTCCCTACCCTCTTCACATATCCCAAAGGGCCTCCCCACCTGGTGCCCTTCAGGGAAGGTGACTCTTACTCCTGCCTCCCCACACCCTGCACAGCTGTGCTTTGGGCCAGGGCAGGGGCTATGGAGGAAAGGTGTGCGAGGCCTGGCTAATGGGTTTGGCCACTCCTCTGTACTAGCCCATGCTAGGTGCTGCAGAGGCAAAGTTGGAGTGCAAGACACCAATATACAGTGATAGAGACAGGCTTACAAATGCCTGAAGTCCACACTGCGTGCTAAATGCTTTGGTTGCTGCATCTGCAGGTTGATGCAGGAGCACATGGGAATCGGGCAAGTCGTGGACTGTCTTTATGCCTTGGTTTCCTCATCTGCAAATTGCAGTGATCTGCCTCCCTCCCAGGGTCATTGCAGACTTCACCTGGCTTCTCCCCCAGCTGGAGCAGAGATGAAAGATGAGTTGAGCAGGAAGCAGTTAGGAAGATACCATCCTCCAGATGAGGCTCCCCTGCTGGTTGCCTGTGGTGGCAGCCTCCAAGGTGGAGTCCAATTACCTCAATGTGGTACTCATGCCCTTGTGTGGTCCTCTCATATCGAATTATGGTTGGTATGTATGACCAATAAAACTTCCAAAATAAAGCTGGTACATGATTCTTCAAGGGCTTTCCCTGTTGTGGGAACTATGGAAGCACATCAAAACAGCCTGGATTGCTAAGCTGCCTTAAGGTGTTGTCCAGCATCACAGTGGACTTTGTGTGAATGGAAAATAAATGTGTTAAGCCACAGAGATTTGGGTATTGTGTCTACAATAGAATTTATCCTATCCTGATTAATGGATTATCCATGCCCACTTGGACAACCTTGAAGCCCCATCTGATAACCCCTGAGTGAGGTACAGATCTCTGGACTTGACATCATCCAGAACTGGTTCAACTCCTAGTTCTGCCACTCACCAGCTGTGTGGCCTTGGGTAATCATAATCTCCCCAAGCTGCTGTTCCATCGAGTATAAGACAGAGCTAGAAGCTGCCTGTTTTCTCTAGCCCTTGCCTCCCCCTTCTCCAGTGCATCCTCCTAACTTTGGCACAGCTCTGATCATCTAACACCCCAGGGTTCTCCACTGCTCACCACACCGTAGGAAGTCCAAACTTCTCATCCTGGCTCCCAGGGTCTTCAAAGAACCAATATAACCTCCTTTCCAGGTTTAGTCCATGCATCCCTGCTACACATCCCTTGGACTCTAGACTGCCAGGCAGCCCATTCCATTCCTGGACAGATCCTTTTCATCCTTGCTCATGTCATTCTTCTGTCTGAAATGCAACAAATATGTATTAAGCAAGCACTGTGTGAAATCCTTTGTTAGGCACGGGATATAGAGAGGAGTGAGGCAGCTCCTGCCTTTCAGCAACTCAGTCTAGTGGGGACAAGAGCCAAGGGAACCAAC